CTCTGAAACCCCTCCCAGTTCAACATCCCTTATACTGTAGCAGCTAGGTTTGAATTCTGCCTCTGACACTATTTATACAAAGCCTTGGGTAAGTCACGTAGCCTCCTTGGGCCTCATTTTCCTCAGTTGTAAAATGAGATGGGTTTAATTAGATTACCTCCAAAGCCCCTTCTGCCTCTTTCTCTATGAACTCTATGATCATCTTTGCATTAAAAAAAGAAAAACAAAGAACTTCTTCCCAACATCAACATCTATAATAAAAGGCTGGCTCAATTCTCTGATGGTGTTCGTTGGTGCCAAGAGGACTGTCTCCTCATCTGAGAGAGAGATGAGGCCTCATTTTGATTGAAGTGAACTAGAAGGCAATAGGTGGAATAATAGAACAAATTACCTACTGGACAGGACCTCCTTTGTTCTCCCAGAAATCATCAGTGGGGTCGCCTCTTTGGGCACTACCAAGTACTACAGAAAAGGGAGTTGGCAGTTGTATTAGAGTTAACATTTAATTCAAGGGTCTTAAGGCTAAATGTCCTAATTGCCAAAGGCTAAATGGAACATCAGTGCTTTCCATCTGGGCTCCTAGCATTCAAAGGAGGAATTGGAACATGGACTTGACTGTGTCTTCCCTCAGTCTTAGGTTACAACTGAGACCAAGAGTTCAGTAATTTGGCTTAGCTCCTTCCCCTTTGACCCAGGGATGGAAAACTATGTTCATCTTATTAATGCCTCACTTCAACCTCTACTCTCAAAGCATGTCTGGGAGAATATAATAATACATGAGAAAGGCTTCATGTTTGCCCATCAGACCTAAGAGGGAAATCGAGAAACAAAAATATTTGCAACAAGAAGAAAGGATCGTGGAAGAGATCAAAACAAGAGAAAATATTTCCAACAGTTTGATATGCTCATATACTGAGAAGCTTTACGGATGCTTGTATTGATCACAGTTGTTTAAATAGTGTTGCCTACCCCTAGTTTCATCTTAATAGGCACGAAACCCCTAAAATCAAAGAATCTGAGCACTTTCAGGAGGTCCCCAGGGCACTCCAAATGCCATTCCATACCAGGATTTGGGAAGCTTCCCAGGACACTCTTTCCTGCGGACACCTCTCCACAGGAAATAGAAGTGTCATTTCTGGATGTCCCAGAGAGTAGGGAAAAGACAACTGATTGTGGAGTCAAAGGACCCGGCTTCGAATTCTGCCTCTAACATTTAGTTGTTCCATGAACTAACACCAAGTCCGGGCCTTAAACAAGATAAAGAAGGTTTGATATATACAGCAAAGGACTGCCACAAGATCCCCCACTTCCACCCCCCCATGATTGGTGGAGCCCTTAACTCTGGCCTGCAAGACCTCACTGTGAATGGTTTTCAAAGAAAAGTCTGTGTTTCATTGTAGCAAAAAGGTAATGGCTCTCCAAAAAAGCAGAGTATGTCAACTCTTGAATGCCTATGGGAAAATCTTTTAGTTTGTCTGTGTTTGTTTTGTTTGTGCAGCCTCAAGGCTATATGTGGCCTTCTAGGTCCTCAAGTGTGGCCCTTTGACTGAATTCAAACTGGATTCCCCACCCCTGTATCTAATCTCTTAACAGCTGATTTCCAGTGGGATCACATATTCACCTTGGCTACCATGTGTGTAGCTGATAAGACAGGTCACTATTATTTAAAGCACTTAGACAGACCTTGTTCACCCAGAATGGACTGGCAGAGGACTGACTGGAGCAAAAAGCAGACTGAAGCCAAACACGTGTACAATTTTTAAAAGTTAAATAAAAAGGAGAAAAAAGATGTTTTTCAATATTTTTTCAGGGGAAAAAAAGGTGGAATGCTCCTCAAATCACCAATGAAGGCAAATGAAAGACAGAAGACACACATGCTTATACTCAGAAGTAAGGGATCACCCACAAAACAACACAGAACATAAGCCATGTCATCGTGAGATGGACAATGTCCTGCCTAGAAGTCCTCCGGATATTCCTTTGCTCCCACTCGTAAAATACAATGTCAACATCCAGGCTCTGAGATATTGAGAGCAAGATGGAGAAGCTGGCTCCTCTAGGCTGGTCTCAACAAATCTTATTCCTTGTCTTCCCCAAGACAAAACCCAGCAAACCAGGCAGAGTTTTCTGCAATAGTGTGGGGGTGCTCCCTTGCCTTTACAGCATGGTGCAGTAGAAGAAACCCTGGATTTGATGTAAAAAGTGGAGATTGGACAACTGGATGACCTTGGAAGTGCTGGCTGGTTCTAAATCTATCATTTTACAAACTCCAGACTGTGTAGGTCTTTATGGTTGAAGAGAGCTAGGAGCCACATTTAGGAGACTATGGGGGAAAGAGCACATCTGTAAATCTTAAACAGTTCTCTGGGAGTTTCTAGGCTAGGAACATCCCAAAAAGATGATCCCAAAAGAGGGTCATCCCACAAGGTCAAGAGCTACCATCTGAGCCAAGAAAGGTCAAGCCCATATTGACCCTGAATCGCGTGTTAACGGACAAATTTGTCCATGCCATGAAGTAAGATCACACGATCATAAATTTAGAGCTTAAAGACATCTTGGAACAGAGGTGCTTGATCCTTTTTTCTGTCATGAACCCTGTTAGCAGTCTGTGGGTGTCTGTGGGTGTCTATGGGTGTCTATGGGTGAAGTCTGTAGAGCCTTTCTCAGAGTGCTATTTTAAATAATTAAATGAAATTCTAAATTTCAGTTAGAGAATAAAGATTTTTTTTCCTATTCAAGTTTACAGACTCCCCTGAAATTTATCCACAGACCTTTGGGCAAGGGTGATCCATGGAATCCAAGTCAATAACCTTTATCCCAGAAGCAATCTAGGTTGATCCTCTCATTCTATGGATGAAGAAACTGAGGTCTGGAGTTGATTTGCCCAAGGTTACCCAGCTAGAAAGGCAGGATTCAAAATAAGGTCCTCTGACTCCCAACCTGGGTCACTTTCCAATATATCACGCTGCCTCTCCCGTGATGGAACTGAAAGAGGAAGAAGGGGGAAGAATAGTTCTATTGGCTGGCACATTGCTAGACCTGCTGGCTCAACACTGCTTCTGGCCTGATCCTTGGAGTGTGTTAGAAAGAAGGAAGAAATATGGAGCTGGCAGTTGGCACGCGTAGACTCTGGAATCAAATACTTCCTGGAAGTAGACGTAGGATTTTCCTTCCTCTTGCAACATGCCCTGCTTAAGAAAAGGTGGGACATGATGTTTCAGAAACAGTTTACAGCATTTCCCCTCATTATTTCTAAGGGAAAAAAGAGACCAAAGCATGTAGAGACTTCTGTAACCTGGGAGATGTAGATATTGGTGTGCTCTGCTCACTTTCCTCTACTGCATGGTGCACTGGAATGAATGGTGAATTAGAATGGAGGCCCCTTGAGGGCAGGGCTTGTTTCATTTTTGCTTTTTTATCCCTAGTGTTGAGCATAGTTTCTGGCACTTAAAAGGTGCTTAAGGTGCTTGTTGATAGATTGATTAAGCACCAGAGAGGCAAAAAAAAAAAAAATCTGTCAAGTTAGTAGGAGGATGGTATGGGAAGTAGGAGGCTATAGCTTTCTCCAAAGCTTTGATCAAATTTACAAAGCACTGGCATCTGTCCTCACAGAAATGAAATGTTACTCCTCATCATACGTGTTTTTGTCCACGACTTAGGTAACACCACAGAGTCAACTTTAGAGCAACTTACTGCATCATCCTCAAACAAAAGCTCTTCATGTGTTGACATCATCATGGGAATGATTATAACCTTGGACTCGGGGGCCTAGTTTCTTAGGGGAATGGGAGAGAGAACCTGACAGTGCTGGCCCATGGGAGCAACTGGAAGGCCAAGGCCACCCAATTGCCCATTTGTGCTTCCTGTGGATGCAGAGCAAAGATAGGGGAATGGGACCTGACAAAGTTTTCAGAAGCACTGTGTGCTTTAGCACGTCAGCTCACCGTAACCTCAGAGTCCTTAAGAGGATTGATTTCACGATGTTAACTAGCATAAGCAAAAGGTAGTGGCTCTGTGGTCACATTCCCCACTACAGAGTCCATGCAAGAAGATGCTTTTCATTAAAACTTGGAGCAGGAATTCTCAAGTGTCGCTGATTTGTCCGGCCAGCTGGCCAGCAATGCTTAAGACACAGCTGCATTTCTAATCCTGGGCTTTCTAATGCTAAGCTCTCAGCACTAAATTCTAACATCTAGTCTCTTTTTGGGTCCCTGCTGCCTTTGCGTAGGGCACACCTCAAGCCAACTTTACCTTGCGTCAGAGGTTTGCATATTCCAGAATCATCTGTGGTCCAAAAGCCTGATACTTCCCTCTCCCTTCTTTACCCTTCATCCCAAAATATTGCTGGAGGAAACCAATATTTAGGGAAGTAACTCCAGTTGCATTGGAAAGCCCCCAAGCATCATGGGATAAGGATCACAATTGTTGGCTGGGGTAGGGTCTTTCTGCATTGATCATTGATTTATGGGCCTGGATTTGGGGCCCTGTTTGGGTATGGGACCATAGGCTGAGCCAGCTCTCAAACACTCTTGTTCCTGAAATGCTGGTTCCTTTTATCTTTTCCAAAACATAATACTTGAACCTCTTTTCCCTCTTTGCTTTCTGATACTATTTCTAATGTTGAGAGAATAAGACACAGAGTGTTTGGCTTTTCCAAAATGTGTCCCACAATGACCTCCAGTTCTGAACTGAGTCCATTTGGGGAGCCCAGGGAAGGCATCCCCCTCTCTATCTTCAACTGGTGGTTATTCAGCTTCTGCTTGAATCCTTTCAGTGTTGGGGAACTCATTATTAATGTGGTATTCTGTTCCATTTTTGAACAGTTCTTACAAGTCAGCCTAAGGATTTCTGCTTATGAGATAGCAACTCGGGGACTTATAAGCGTCCCACAATGATTCCTGGCTAAGGACAAAGGTAAAGCAAAGGCTAATATATATATATATATATTTATATATATATATATATATATATATGTATATGTATATATAATTGTCCAAAAGGTAGAGAACTGCATCTGGAGATAGGAGTCAATCAGGATCCTGGAATCACTTAGAGGTACCCAGTGTCCATGTGAGATCTCCAGGAAAAAAAAATGACCTGCTAATGATCCTGGGTAAGGAGACTATCTCTCACCCTCTAAACAACTGGCTCAGCTCTTAACTCTTTTGGAATGAGAGATCAAGATTCTATGCCGGCATTCAGCAGCCTTGGGGACCCAGAAATAGTTAGGAGACACATAAAAATCTAAGTCACTGGTTGCAGACCAAGAGAGAGGGCTGGGGCCTGCATATCCCCGAGTAACCCACTGGGTTTCAGGCCCTGTGGCAAATCCCCACGGCTTCACGATTCTAACCTTTGGCGGGAGGCACAACACCTGCATCTGTCTTTTGGTCCTGATCCAGACAGATGAAGGGATAAAAGGAGTTCTGCCCTCCCACCTGTTCCCTTCTTCCCCCCATGCTTGTTACAAATGATTCTTATGATATGAAAATATACTATGACACTGGATACTGGCTGTACAAATGTACAGGAAGGCAGCCCAGCAGGATGGTGCTAGTGATTCTCACACCCTCCAGAGTCTTTGGGGACTTGGCAAAGGAGCTGAAGGTCACATAGTGGTGAACACATTCCCAGCCACCCCCTTCAATCTTCAAAAAGGCTGATGGGTTCTTTTTTTTTCCTCTATATTTCTTTTTTTACAAATATTATGGAAGTAAAAAAAATGTCCAAACTGAGGAGATAAGGAAAATACTCTTTGAACAGTGTACCCCCTCTTCCAAATTTGTGCTAAGACACTTCCAACACAAGTGCCATCTTGCAGGGTGGTGGTAAATTCCTCTTTGTCCAGAAAGTGGGGGGCATGCTGGATTGACTGGTCCCTCACTGATTTTCCATCAATGAGAAAATCTTATTTTGAGAAGAAAATGTTAGCTCTATGCATGTGTTTCTGGAAGAGGGTTTGCAATGTTTATGTTTTTATTTTAATTTTTAAATAAATGGGCCTCTCAGCTTGCTCCGAAAATGTCTCTCTCTGATTCTGGGGACTGGGGCCTCGATATTTCAAACAGCTCCTGGGGGGACTGAGAAGATCTTCTGGAAGTTAATATCCTTAATATCTCAGAGAGCTGTTTTTCAATGTTCGCCATTTTGTTGTTCAAGGCCTTAATGTCTTCCTTCAGCTCATGCTTCACCTCCAACACGGTGGCCTGAAGAGTCTGCTCAGGGATGGGGTAGAAGGAATGCTTGACCTCTGCAAGGATAGGGCTGCGGTCCTGAGGACTCCTGGTCTCACCAACATTGTCCAAGCGCAAGTCACTTTTGGTGATACCACTATCACAAGAGTCCGTCTTCTTCAGTGTGGCCTCCCCAGATGTCTTTGTCCTCTCAGGGAGCGTCTCCATCGACTCGGCCTTAGAGACTTTGTTCCAGTCCTCCCCCTTTCCACAGGCATCTTTGAAACGAGCCCAACCTTTGCGTCGGGGACAATCCCCCCCTCCTCCCTTGGGGCCCAGGCCCTCAGACACAGGGGCATGTAGTTTGGCATGGTCTGACACCCCTGAGATAGATGCTGACTGGAAAGAGACAGGGGTGGCCGGGCTTTCCCGGACAGTGACGATACTGGCCTTTACCACTGTGTGGTTGGCAGAGGAGTGCTCTGAGAGAATGTTGCCCTTCTCCACGTCCAGGTCATCCAGATCCCGGCCTCCCCTCTCTGCTGCCAGTCTGGCTTCCTTCTGCTGCCGGAATCTTTGGAAAAGCCTCCGGACAGGATGGTCTGGGGGCAGGATCAGGGGGGCCTCATTCTTCCGTTTCATTCTCTCTTCTTCTTCCCTCTTCACATCGCTGATCTTCCGAAACACAATCTGCAACAAGGAAAAATGACATGGGAGGTGTTTAAGATGGACGATGATGGCAGCCCATGTCTACCCTCCCTGTCATCACAGGGGATCTTCAACCCACCCGAATGTTTTTAAGAGAATCATAGAATGTTAGAGCTGGAAGAAAACTGGAAAGTTAGCTAGTCTGGACTAATTACAGATGAGAAAACTCACGATGATGTGCCTATAATCATCTGGCTAATAATAATCTTGAAAATCAGTTCACATTTATATAGTGCTTTTAATTCATTATCTACTTTGACTCACAATAACCTTGTGAGGTAGGTGCTATTATTATCCCCATTTTTACAGGTAAAGAAATAGAGGTTTAGAGAGGTTAAGTAACTAGCCTAGGGGTGGGCAACCCGTGGTCTCGAGGCTACATGTGAATGAGCTGAACTAGCCCATTGTCACCGAACTAGTATTAGAAGTGGAATCTGAACCCATATCCTCTTGACTCAAGTCCAGGGTTCTTTCCACTATTTGTTTAGTCATTTTTCACTCATGTCCTAGTCTTCATGAACCGATTTGGGGTTTTCTTGGTAAATACTGGAGTGATTTGCCATTTCCTTCTCCAGCTTACTTTACAGATGAGGAAACTGAGGCAAACAGGATTAAGTGATTTGCCCAGGGTCATGCAGCTAGTAAATGTCTGAGGCTGGATTTGAACTGAGGAAGAGAAGTCTTTCTGACTGCAGGCCTGGTGCTTTATCCACTGCACCACCTAGCCATCCACGATAGCATGTGGCTAAATGAATTCATGGCTACCAAATAGCTAAGTGAGAAACCAAAGACCAGAAGCATTCATTATGTGCCTTCTTATTGAAGACATTGAAAGACTCACAGGTAGGTGTCCCTCCCCATCTACGTCCATTATAGATTGAAATTCTTAGATATCAGGAAGCAGGTGGGAGGAATTCTTCCCTGGATATCTCCTATTTCCAGGACACAGAACCCTAAAATTCTAGAATGGGAAGTCCTCCTAATAATGCCTTCTCTCCTCTTTTCCACAAATTTTAGTCATCTTTGACAATTGGTTTCCATTCTGCTTCTTTCATGAAAATTTCCCAGCTCGTTCAAGCCAATGGTGATCTTGCCTTCCTCTCATAGCACTGACTTCTTCTGCCATAATTTTGGCAATTAGATTCAGTCTTGTGAAGTGTCTGAGATAAGCTAGTTGTGTAGTGGCTAGAGAGATGCACCTGGAATCAGGAAGACTTGAGTTCAGTTCTGGTCCTAGACACTTACTAGCTGTATGATCCTGGACAGATCATTTACCCTCCCTTACCTTCAGTTTCCTCATCTATAAAATGGGGATAATAATAGCACCTACCTCCTAGGTTGTTGCGAGAAGAAAATAAGTTAGTATTTATAAAATGCTTTGTAAATCTTAAAGCACTAAATAAATATTAGTTATCATCATCATCTCTGGCACTATTTTATATTGTTTAACTTTTCATATGGGAGGCAGAATGTGGAAATGTGAAAGCCTATCACTTAAACATCAATTGTGAATGATACTAATACTAATAATGATGATGATGATGATGATGATGATGATGATGATGAAGTAGCATTTAGATTGTACATGTATAATCTATATCAGATTGCTTGCTGTCTTGAGGTGGGGGGAGAGGGGACAGAGGGAGGGACAAAAATTTGGAACTCAAAATTTTACAAAAATGAATGTTGAAAACTATCTTTACATATAATTAAAAAGAAAATAAAACACTATTAAGGAAAAAAATAAAATAGCATTTAGATAATGCTTTCAAGTGTGCAAAATGCTTTACATGTGCAATCTCATTTGAGCCTCATAACAATTCTATGGGGTAGGTACTATTATTATCACCATTTTACAGATGGGTAAATTGAGGCTGAAGTTGGTAAAGTGACTTGCCCAGCATCCCATTGCTAGGCAGGATTCAAACTCAGGTTTTGACTCCAACTCCAGCACTCTATCCATTGCATCATCTAACTACCTCTAGGGATCTAGGAGTATTTAATGAGGAAAAGAGAGAGTTTGGGAGGGGAGGAGGTGAAGCATAACAGCTATCTTTGAGTATTTGCAACACTCTCATGTGCAAGCAAGATTCAGGGTGTTCTCCTTAGCCTCAGAGGACAGAACAAGAGTAGTGACTGAGTCTCTCCCGGATGCTCCTGTTTTTTCTTCTGAGGCTTAATTGGAAAGGTTCGTTGAGGCTTCCTAACATTGCAAGTGGTGGGCTATGTGAAAGAAGAGTTTCTTGTTTAGGTATGAGCTGGACTAGGTGGGCTCTGAGGTATGTCATTCTGTGAAATCAGCCAATTAGAGGGGCTGCTAGGTGTTGCAGTGGATAGAGCACCGGCCCTGGAGTCAGGAGGACCTGAGTTCAAATGTGGCCTCAGACACATAACACTCACTAGCTGTGTGATCTGGGCAAGTCACTTAATCCCATTGCCTAACAAAAACAAAGAAACAAATAATCATCCAATTAGAACCAGATTCAGGAGCTTAGTAAAAGATTTTCTGCTATACCTTCTCTGACAAGTGGCTGTCATGCCCCTACTTGAATACCTGCAGTGTGGTGGGTTCATTGCCTTCTATAAGGCAGCCCATTCCATTTTTGGACAGCTTGAAGCACTACAGAGAGTAATAACGACTCGTATTTAATTTTAAAGTTTATAAAATACTTTCCTCATAAAAACCTCTAACATAGTGTCATCCTCATTTTATGTTTGAGAAAATTGTGGGTTAAAGAGATTATGATTTACCCAGGTTCACACAACTAGTAAGAAACAGAGCCTAGGATTCAAATTCAAGATGTGTTCCTTGTTTAAATATCTTATCTAAGCAAGCATATGCCCCGAGCCAGTCAAACATAGAAAGAAAGGCCCCATTTGTGCCAAAAATATTTATAGTAGCAATTTGAGGGTAACAAAAAACCTGGAAACAACGTGGGTTTGGGGGAATTGCTTAGTAAACCGCAATATTGCTGCACTAAATGAAATGATGAATGAAAAGCATGGAAAAATATGGGAAGACCTGAATGAACTTTGGCAGAATGAAGTAAACTGAATAAGGAAAACATGCAGGATGATTTAAATAAATGTAAATCAGTAAGAGTCTCAACCTTTCTGGTCTTGGGACACTTTTACACTTTTTTAATTTTTATTATTTTTTTAGGCAATTGGGGTTAAGTGACTTGCCCAGGGTCACACAGCTAGTAAGTGTCAAGTGTTTGATCTGAGGCCAGATTTGAACTCAGGTCCTCCTGACTTCAGGGCCAGTACTCTATCTACTGTACCACCTAGCTGCCCCAACACTTTTACACTCTTAAAAATTAATGAGAACTACACACCAAAGAAAAAATTACAAGTAAATAGAACAAAATTATAATGACCACTTGAATGAAGAAATATGAGAGGACACTCCCAACCCACCCTTTTGTGGAGATGGGAGGTCCACAGTTGTTACTAAACATTACACATTTTTTTGGACTTTTCCAATATATTGATCAATTGTGTTGATTTGTTTTTCTCTCTCTAAAAAAATACTATTTGTTATATGTATGGCTGTCTGGGAGGGGAAAGGGAAGGGATACTTGGGATAACTATACTGATGTAAGAAACAGAAGATATTGAAAAAAACTTTAAAAAATGAGAACTCTGAAGAATTTTTTGTTTATGTTAATTATATCTATTAACATTTACCATATTAGAAATTAAAATGGATAATTTCATCCATTAAAATTAAATTTTAATTAATTTATCTAAAATAATAAATCAATTACTTGTTAACAATAATATATTTTTATGAAAAATAATTACCTTTTACAGAATAAAATATTAGTGAGGAGTGGCATTATTTTACACATTTTTGCAAATCTCTTTAATATCTAGCTTAATAGAAGATATCTGGATACTCACTTCTGCTTCTGCATTCAATCTGTTGCAATATATTGTTTTGGTTGAAGTATATAAAGAAAATCTGGCCTCACCCAGATATGTAGTTGGAAAAGGGAGGAACATTTTAATAATGCATGTAAAGTCTTAGTATTACTGTAAAAATTGTTTTGACCTCTAGGACCTCCAGAAAGAGTCTCAGGGAGCCCCAGAGGTCCTCAGACCACACTGAAGAAGTAATGATAGAAATGGACAAAACTCTAAAAGAAAACCAGACGCCGAGTAATCATAATGACCAATCTTAGTCTTAGGGAATTGATGATGAAATACACCTCCTTCCTCTAGGTAAAGATGTGTGAGAGGGAGATTGCTGGCATACTCTGCCAGACATGATCATAGCATCAGTTGGTTTTACTTAACTGTTTTTCTTTGTCACAAGAGAGGACTCATTTGGTGCAGAGTATATCCAGAAAGGACTATGATATAAAGAACAAAAGACCTCAACAAAAATTACAAAAATTATATTTTTAAAAAATGTTCTATCCAAGTGCTGCATTCAGTGATTCAGTCAGCAGACTGGTCTAGTGCATTTAAAATGTCAATGGGTGCCCAGCCCTGGCCAAACAAGTTGAGTAGCCTAAGCAAGGACTCACCAGTCTACAGTAATGAGGACTGACCAACAACATAGCTCCTCTTCTGAATACCAAAATATGTAGCCCATGGTCTTAAGAGACACCATCATGGAGTAGTAGATGGAGAGCCCACTTTAAGCTCAATAAAACCTGGGTTCAAGTCCCATGTCTTTTTCTTTTCTTTTTTAAGTTTATTTATTTATTTTTAGCTTTCAACATTCATTCCCATAAGATTTTGAGTTCCAAGTTTTCTCCCCATCAAGTCCCATTTCTAATACATACTGGCTTGTACTATCCTAGGTAAGTCATTCAATCTTACAGAGTTCCAGGAAACTCTCTATATAATCAACTCAATTGTAGAGAAAGTGTCAATCTAAATTGGTAGAGGAATCGCCCCATGCCAATGAAATCACAGGTCTGGTCTACACGCCTAACAGTCATTAGGAATTCTTGCCAATTTGACTCCAT